AACTGGTAACCGAAGTGTTTGCTAAAGGCTTCACCAAGCCATATGTATCTAAATAAATTTTATTACTAACTGCTTAACTTGGTAAGTACGAGTTTGTCGCGAGATCACGGTTTTATGCTCGAGTTTATTTGGTTCTTGTAACGTTCTTTAGTTTGCTGATTGTAGATAATAGATCTAGATTTATAAATAGTAATACATATATATAGTAAGTGTAGCTTTGGTAGCAAATACCTTTTTTTTTTCGTATTCTATGTATTCTATGTGTATATAAATCACAAAATTTTATTTTTTTCGCGATTCAGTAGACTTTATTCTCTGTTTTCTATACGACTTTATTGGTTAATCGTCACGGGTAATCACGGGTAAATCTATAAAAATTGACCAATCAGACGAATGTCTTCCTATGATGGATGATTTGGAAGAACAAACTGCTGCAGCGCAAGTACTCCAAGTTTTAAGATTTGCCAATGTTCCTGGTGATTCTAGCTCTGAATCTTTGGATTCATCAGACTCATCTTCACCATCACGTACACATATTGTTGATAAGCTTGCCGAGAATTCATCGATCGTTACCTTAGATAACAATCAAACTTCATATGATCCTGGTCTAAATCATACATATTTTGATCCAGACTGGGGAACAATAGTTCAACTTGACACGGATGCAACATCAACGACTGGAACACATGAAGGAATTTCCATTGATTGGAGTGGTGTCGTTAACACGGCTTTACTTCCTATTGCTTTTCCAAACAAAGGTGATCCTGAAGAAAATACATCACCCTCACCAAAATCGTTAGCAAATAAGCATTCTAGAGACGATAGTATTGAAAATTTTATTACTAAGGATACTAATGTAGAAAAAATAGAAGTTTTGAATGAGGCGGAAATATCTGCTGATCTTCTTATCACTGCGATGGACGAGAATCCTGAATTTTTCTATCATTCAGCATCCAATGATTACTCTGAAGTATCTTACACAGCTGGATCCGATGCTTTTTTTATTTCCGATGAAACTGCAAATATTACGACACGTTCAACAAAAGTAGAAGATTCAAATGAAACTAATACGCGTCAAATTAAGCGACGAAGAACATCAATTTCGGACAAAAATTTATGTCGAAATTCACAAAGTTCAAATATGGATAGCAAAACTTCTCAACTTGGATATACGTGTTTATACCCTCATTGTAATAAGTCGTTTGCTCGGCTATACAATTTAAAGTCACATCAACGGACACATTCGACTGATCGGCCGTTTAAATGTTCATCTTGTGAAACTGCATTTGCAAGAAACCATGATCTTAAACGGCATCAAAAAATTCACGAGAATACCAAACCTTATAAATGTCTTGGTTGTAAAAAGTTATTTTCGAGGTTGGTTGCACCTTTCAGTTTATTATAGTTGGTTATTATTTAACTGGCTTAAATTTTTATTAATGAGTTTATCGATAGATTGGATGCTCTAAAACGTCATAAACAAAACCCAAAGAGTCGTGAATTGTGCCACGAGACTGAGGTGGCAACTGCATGAAAATCATGGACGATTAGCGTTTAATGATAATTTTGATAAGTAGTATTTTTTTGTGAATTTTGTTCACTTAAAATAGTTAATCAGGTTCAGACTAGCTTTCTTGTAACGAAGTGTAACGACGTCTAGGTACTTATTTCTTAGGGACAATACGGTCAGTTTTTTCTTTTAAAGGATCTATTCCAAAGATCATGATTATTCACCTAAATTTTGTAGTTATTACTGTGAACACTTTGAATCAAATATATTTTAATGCATGAATGTTAAGTATTTATTGTCGCAGATCATAATGAAATCCGATTAAAATGAAATTTGGGGGTTCTTTTTAAGCCTCTAAAACCACCTATACTCTTCTATTAAAAATCCTAATCCTAAAATCTTAACCAAAACCCTAAAAGGAGCCTAAAAAAAATGCACCCCAAAATTTTTACCACGGCGCGTAAATTTCTAATTGAAATTTCATTTTAATTTGATTTCATTTTAATCTGCTGCATTTATTTTTTGTAACAAGGTGTGATACCTGATTTAAATAGTAAGACTTAATGTTTTAACATTGACTTTGACTCAATGGATTCGAGGTTTAAATTGTGCACTTTTTTGAGAAAGACAAAAAAAAAGAACGATAATCACTATCCCTTACACCGTCCCACTATTAAATGAAGTGTGATATAGGCTCGATTCAATATAGTTGATAGCTCGTTAATAGATCAATCATGATAATTTTCGGGCAAATTTATGACTTATTGATTTGTAGTACTGGTCACAATGTTTTTAAAAATAAGGTGTAGAAATGGCGGTTTTCATTATTACATATTAATCTTGTAAAAATGTAATTATTCTTATATACCATAAAAATGAAGTTAGAAGATTAAATTGTAAATATTAACATACAATAAAAGCCTTGATTGTTTTATAATTCTTTAATTTTATTATTGTAATGCCTATTTTTAATGTACAAGATTTTTAACTAAATTCTCTAGATGTCAAATTTTGAAAATATGAAAAAATTATTTATACGTTTCAATAACCGACGGGCATTGTAAAAAAAGGCCGCATGGCCGGATTCGTTTGAATTTTAATGTTACGAAAACTAAAAAATTAATTTTGTGTAGACTTAATTTTTTTTTTTAGCACCATAATAATAATAGTATAAACTGTGCAAATTATTGTTGTCAAAGATCGGTTTTTTTATTAATAAGGTGCACCTTGAACGTTAAAATAAGGGATGATAAATGATTCTTGATTTAAATAAAATGATATTTACGTCATAAACATCAATAACAATCATCTTACGTATAAATTTACAATTTTTTAATCTTTTCATCATTCCGAATAAATAATTTACGGGAGTTAAAAGTATCATCTCTTTTAGGATGTTGAATTTCCCATAAAATATCTTCTCTGTATATTTGAACAGCTTTATTAATATCGTAATTTGATTGCTCCATATAATATTTTGCTTCCACCGTGTCAACACATTTTGATTGCAGTTGAAAACGTTTCACTAGAGTTTTTCTTACTTTGAAAGAAAAAGTTGATTAATAAAGATATAAATATGCAGTACCTATTAAATAACAGCAATAATAATATTTTTTTGTCTCACCATCTTCTTTAGAAGGGTTTGCGGATAAAGACTGGCCAACGTAATTTGGAATAATCAATATTTTACGAGCAAAAATGTTATCATCAAATAGTTGATTTTCTTTACGAATTTCTGTTATCTATAAAATAAAAACATTAGTGCTCCTCAAAATCAAATTTAAAGCTTGAGTCTCAAACTTGACAAATATTTGAATTTCAAAAAAAATCTAAAATTAATTGAAGATATCCTGATAACCACATAGTTAAATTTAGTTTTTTTTTTTTATTTGAAATCTAGAGAACTATATAATTCAATAAAAAAAAAATTTCTTAGTTGTTAAGATATTTTCAATCAAATTTTAGTTTTGAAGTTCGAAGATTTGATCAAGTCAAATATTTGATTGAAATTCAAGCTTTGAATTTGATTTTGAGAACATATTATGTTATATTTATTATTAATACAAACAATAGAGCTTACTATAGTAATAAACCGTACCTTAACATTATATTTTAAAGATATTCCTATCAACGTATCCTCTTTTTTTATATGATGAATTACACCAAGATTTGGTCCATCAAGTTCGTTTTTTTCAATATTTTGTAAAAATGAAGGATTATCGTTATTAGTAGTAGAATTTATAACTTCTTCGTAACTCGGTGGTTCGTCGGTATACTTTTCATTTGAGTATAAAATATTTTGATTTATTTTTTGACAAAGAGGACAATAATTTTGAAATCTTGGATTTTCTTTTAAACAGTTATCACAAACCCATTTATTGCAACATTTTGTTAAAAATGGTGTATTAACTCTCAAATAAGAATCTGTTACAGATGCTGAAAGAATATGGCAAAATAAACATGAAATATTATTCATTATTGAAAATGTAAAGGTGAACCCAACTCAATTACCGAAATTACTGGTAACGCATTTTATAGTTGATCTTAATATCACGTGATTTTATGTTGAAATGAAACACAATTCATAAAAGGGTTTTAAGTACGTACTTTTTAGAAAGCTCACGTTACTTATCTTTGAAACGAAGTTTCTAAGTAAATTTGAAGCTTTCGTGCAGTATTTTAATAATGTATGTGTAAGTAATTTATGAAACACCGAATTGCAATTTCTAGACGGGTAATAAAAAAAGTTAAAAGCGAAGATTTGGCAAAAGCAACGTAAGTTTAAACGTTATCCTGTATGGTCTTTTTTTTATATACTCATAAAAAAATCTTTAAAAACTTAAAGCAAATATATTATTATAATATAAACTAACAATTTTTTCGTACAGTACGGGACAGTAAAAAACATCCAACCTATACATAGAGGCGCCAATTTTGGTGCTTATATAATCAATTCTGATTGGCTAATTTGTGTAATTGATTCTGATTGGTTAAAAATATATATATGATTTCTTTTTTTTCGACTTTAATCCTTTATAACTTTTTCAAAACAAAGAATAAAAAGAAATCCTCTGACAGAAATGTAGTTTATCTAAAAATCTATCAATTTGTCAAAGGTTTTTTTGATTTAGCTTGTTTTAAAAAAGCTATAACAATTTAAAGTTTTTACTAATAAACATTGGATGCGTTTTACTGTCCGGTACTGTATAATTTTTATTACAGGGAAAATTTTGGAAGACGAAAGTGAGGAGTGTTAAGTTGAAATGTGTATAAACTTTAAAATATATTAGATATACGAAAGGTCATCTAAGTTCTTATTGTTATAGATAATAATATTAGAAGTTAGTTCGCCATTAGTTAAATAAACAGAATTTATTTACTTCGTAAGGTTTTGATTTTGCGTTATTTTAAGACTTATAATGTGATCGGCTAAATAACACGTGACAACACATGAACTTAGTGTAACATTGAACAGTCTCCTGTTAAATATAAAAGTCGATAACGATAAAAAGTTTTTTTAAAAAAAAAAAAAATCAAAAAATGGTAATGAAATATGAATCTTAGTTTTTTTTCAAATTCATATTTCAATTAACGTTGTATGACGTTTCATCCAAATATTAGTCGACACCTATTATAATCGGTGCCGTAGTCACTGCTGCAGCATTGGCTGGTAGGTGGGCACTCAAAGCTGCACAAAGTTCTAAACCGATAGGTTCAAAAACTGTATTTAATAGTTCGATGTCCAAGAAGAGGCCAATAGGAGGATTTGAACGTAAGATTACTAGGCAGGAAGCAGTACAGATCTTAGGTTTACGGTACTGTTTTT